AGAAGAAAAAGGATGGTGACAGTGATAATATTAAATGTAAAGAATAAGATTGCAAAGAAAAAGTAAAAAGAAAACCCACAAAGGAGCCAGGACCAGTCACAGATACCCAACTTAGTTTCAACAGAGCTTTTGAGGTACAAATCTGTATTGTATTAATATGAAAATGTCATTCTTTTCCCTCAAAAGGCTCAAAAGTCCCTCAACTGTGTTCTTTCTTGGTGATACATAAAGCAACAGATGTTTCTCAGGAGATCTTAGACTAATATACTTAAATCTGTTCTTTATAGGAGCTACATTTCATGTAGGTAAACAGATATACCTTTCAAAAACTAGTCTGGAAAAGAGCCAATAACTGTAGAGTGTTTCCAACATGATAAATCTACTTAGCAGAATCAGGGAGATAATTCTCCTTAAACGACCTCCTTAGTCAACAATTTAATATTTGTACAACTTTTGGATCAACAGCCATGTTGACTCAGAACTTTAATTCCCAGGCTACACATAGGAGGATCATACATTTTATTATTCCAACTGGATACCTTGTAGAGAAAAGGGAGGGCAGCTGTTATGCCAGGACAATGGATATAACCGGAAGCTGTCAGGGAAAAGCAGGGGCAGCACGCTTACTCCAGCTACCTATGCTTCCTTGAGATTAATGCACTGAACAAAGATGCCAGATAAACAGAAGTATATCATAAAACAATATAGTATAACAAAAAACCCTCAGAGATAACCTTCAGTTGCCTTTCCAAACATAGAGATCTTTTTTTTTTTTTTGGTGGGGGGAAGAGGGGTATCTGGGCCAAGGCTCTGTCCTGAGCTTTTTGCTCAAGACTAGTACTCTGCCATTTTGAGCCACAGCTCCACTCCTGTTTTTCTGGTGGTTAATTGGAGGTAAAGAGTTTCATGGCCTTTCCTGCCCTGGCTGGCTGAAAACCATGATCCTCAGATCTCAGCTTCCTGACTAGGTAGGATTACAGGCATGAGCCACTGATGCCCGGCTCAACCTTAGAGATCTTGAACTCTCATTTTGTTGATAATACAGAAATAAATCCAAGAAAGAGACCCAAACAGGGTCCCTTCTGTTTGTATTGAATCTTGCAGAGACTATTCCTTCCATGATCAGGTAATTGAGAAACAAATCGCACTGTGAAAAGTACAAGATTCAAAAATTAAAAAAAGGATGTGTTGTCTCCAGACTGTCACTGTGCTGAGCAAAGAACTCCCCTGAGAGGCACACACCACAAGCCAGATCGTGTGCAGAATTGTGGTTTGATGTTAAATTAATGGCATGAATTCAACTCTTGGTGGAACTGAGTTGGAAAAGGTTGTTAGTGCTGATGGCTCACACCTGTAACCCTAGTTACTCAGGAGGCTGAGATCTGAGGATCATGGTTTTCAGCCAGCCAGGGCAGGAAAGGCCATGAAACTCTTACCTCCAATTAACCACCAGAAAAACAGGAGTGGAGCTGTGGCTCAAGTGGTAAAGTGCTAGTCTTCAGCAAAATAGCTCAGGGACATCACCCAGTCCTGAGTTCAAGACTCAGGACTGGCAAAACAAGAAAAAAAAAGTTCTAGAAGAACATGTGCAGTATGAGCCCATCTAGCTGAGATAAAGGGGTGCATGTGGCTTAAAGGTCTATACAACAGTGGCAAAGCTAAAAGGACAGCAGGCATAATTCTCACAGAGTTTAGGCGTTACAATCTAGGTGAGGCAACTGAGGGGTAGCTAAGATCCCTGTGGACTTTATCTGGGGAGTGAGTACATGGGTAGTGCTTTATTGAAAATGTCCATTTTCACTTGGAAGGTGCAGGCAGGGAGATGATTTGAGTGCCAGAGTTTAAGGTTAGACCAGCCTATATAATACAATGAGACCCATTTCAAAAACAGTATATTTTATACAATTTTGTCTCTATAATGTATTCACACTCACACACACACACACTCACACACACACACACACACACACACACACACACACGGAATGGTCCTTATAGTCGTCTCAAATCCCATAGGATTTGCTGCTAGAGTGCTGTGTTGGTAATGTTTTCAATACCAGCTTCTTTGGCCATTAAATAAAAGGGACCGGGGTTTTCTAATAGCTCTTCAGGGCTGCCATATTGTACAATCTTCCCGTTGTCTAGGACCATTATCCTGAAACAAAGAAATAAAAGTCTTAGAAAATTACATCTCAACTATTGCCATTTATCAGGATAGCCAGGACTAAGCTGTGGTACAAGGCTACAGTAAGTGGAGAAAAAGAATGAACCACAACTCCATACAGCAGCACAGACAGACTCCACATATCATACTGAGCATACAAGGCAAGCCACAGGAACACGCAGTATGTACCCCCTAATATAAGTTTTCTCCCAAAGCTCATTGTTTAAGAGTGATTAGCTTTAACCAGGCACCTGCAGCTCATGCCTGTAACCCTAGTTACTCAGGAGGCTGAGATCTGAGGATCTTTGAAGCCAGCCCACATAGGAAAGTCTGTGAGACTCTTATCTCCAATAAACAACAAAAAAAAAGCCAGAAGTGGAGCTGTGGCCACACACACACACACACACACACACACACACACACACACGACTAGCTTTAAAAGGGAACCTTCTTTAAACAGATTTCTAAGGTCACTGAACTTTGAGGGCAAGGTACTCGAGCAGGAAGGAAGCAATGGCTGCTGGCCATTTTACAGAGAAGGAGTTTACACTTCTCAAGGTAGCTGGGAAGGTTTAATAAGGTCCACATCTGACAACTGTAGACTAGATCTCCATCTCCTCAGACTCAGTCATTATAATTTCTTATGGTACACTCAAGATGGCTCCCTAATGACGGCATGAGTGGTGAAGCATTTCGCAGGCAGGTCTGCTGCAGGAGGCGCAGGTCACTTACTTGTCGCAGTCCATGATGGTGTGGAGCCTGTGTGCGATGGTGATAACGGTGCAGTGGGAGAACTCGTTTCGGATGGTTGTCTGGATGAGGTGATCTGTCTCCAGGTCCACTGCAGCCGTGGCCTCATCCAGGACCAAAATCTTGGATTTCCGAAGCAGAGCCCTGCCCAGGCACAGGAGCTGCCTCTGTCCTATACTGTAGCCAACAGGGGAAGCCATGGATTAATTTCCCAGGATCAAGGAAAAAGCCTGGTACACGGGACAGTCTCCTTCCAAAATGTCCCACTTCACTTCCTACTGTTGTGGGAAACAGTTTTTAAAAAACTTTCCCAATGAGAAGATTAGGGTGTGTATGTGTGTGTACTGAGCAGTGTGTGTGTGTGTGTGTGTGTACTGAGCAGTGTGTGTGTGTGTGTGTTTGTGTGTGTATGTGTGTGTGTACTGAGCATTGTCCCTGAGTTTCTTTTGCTCAAAGCTAGCACTCTGCCATCTGAGCCTCAGCTGTACATCTGGCTTTTATGTTAGTTGGAGATAAGATTCTCACGAACTTTCTTGCCCAGGCTGGCTTTGAATCTCAGTCCTCAGATCTCAGCCTCCTGAGTAGCTAGTATTACAGGCATGAGCCACCAGAGCCCAGGAAAGTACAAATGCTTAATAAAAAATATCTCTGGTTTGGGGCTTAACCGTACTGTTAGTATGGGGAAGCTGTCTGGGAACGTGTACTTTTTAATGAGCACATCAGCAATTTTCATCTTTAAACAAGTTTGGAAAAAATTGGTCCAGGAACAGTGCTTTCACTTGGTGACAATGAGGGTAAGAATTTCAAAACAACACAAATGCTACCCAAAGTTACTGCGGTAGTATCTGACCTGACACCATTAATACAGGGTGGCATCACACTGGAATGCCCCAGTGGCATTTCTTTGTGGTCTAAGTAAATACATTCATTATTTTAATGTGCAATTCTAGTCTCAAGGCTAATTATTTGTTCAAGGCCTTCTGCCTCGATTAGAGACAAAGCTATCTAATGAGCATGATGTCTTGGTGTGAGATGCAATGTATGTGGAATTCGAATATGCTTGTAAAATGCAAATAGCTTAATTTGCTAAAAGCCTGTAATGAAGGCCGGACCTCTTACTTACATAAAGAAGCTTTGGGAAATGATGTGAAGGAAATATTCGGGAATTTGCTAATTGTTCTTTCCTGCTGTGGCCATTAGGGATCATATTAAACAGAGGGTGGCTAAACTAAAGTTCTGTAATTTTCTGTAAGAAAATTTCTGCAGGAGATGAGAAGTCACCCAAGATGAACTTCCAGAATTTGTGTAATGTAAGAACGTAGAAACTACAGAACGATTTACTTAGCTTCTACCAAACTCCTGCCTGTTCCTTTTTTTTTAGTCTTCACAGTAACAGGCTGTGAAGCCACTTTGGCTTTCAAGCACTCTGTCCATCATTGATCAGAGATATTCAAGTTTTGTTTAGTTATGTTTTCTTTTCTGACATATTTAAGTTTTAATCTCCCAAACCAAGTCAGTACCACAAAATAGAACAAATTAAAATCTGCTGATTAGCAGCAGGCTTTGTCTAAGGGCTCAGCTTTATTATGAGAAGGGAAAAATATTATAGAGAAAATGTCAGGCACACATCAGAATGGGCAAATGAATGTATGGTGAAGGCCAGAAGTGAAATGTCAACATACATGAAAATACGTTGAAAAGGCAAGATTTGTGAAATCTGAGTCTTTGTATTAATTTAAGATGTTTCACCAGTATCTATGGACTTTGCAGACACTACATCTCTATCATCTGCATGCCCTGTAGATCAGTCGTTCCCAAACTGGAGTTCCCTTTGCAGCCCATGAGGATCCGCATGCCCAGTCTGTGCCTTAGACCTAGACCAGGTATCAGGACTTTAGCTGTGCACAGCCAAGTTGAGAATCTCAGCTTTCTACGATTCTCTATAATACTGGTATTTGCAAGCGTCATGCTACATGATACAATGCCACATCTAATTACAAAGGTTTTCAAGCGCTCCTCCTATGTACTTTCATATCTATTTTATCATATGATCTTTACAAGGGTTCATCTTATACACTAGGAATTAGATATGCAGAGTGAAAATTCCATAGTGCCAGGTATCACCTCACACAGGAGCAGAAGGACGTGCCTTGTATCCTCTCCTTGTCTGTGGGGGAAGCTGGCTGTAAGACATTACCTACCTCAGGTTGTCACCTGCCTCTGCCACTTCATGGGACAACCCAAGAGTCAGTCCAGCTACAAAGGATTTGAGATGAGCCAACTCCAGGGCCTTCCAAATCTCTTCATCTGAATAGGTGTTGAAAGGGTCTAGATTCATCCTCAGACTTCCAGAGAAAAGGATGGGGTCCTGCAAGTCGAGGGATAAGGGAGCTCAGTTGATGGCAGCAGGGGACCCAGTGGCTCTTTGTAGCCAGGAGAAAGTGGGTAGGTCTGGCCTGAGACAGACTTTCTGGGCAGGATGCTGGTCCCAGGTGAGTTTATGCAAGCCCCCTGAAGGCCTGGAGTGGCTCTCAGTTAGAAGACCCCTTCCTCCAAATGAGATGGAAGGATCAGAGGAGGGTAGAAGAAGGCATAACGCAGTCACCTGAGAAAAATTGATTATGCTTCGGCCATTGAAAAAGAGTGTATCAAACTAAGCAAACACTAGACAAACCAAAATTACCCCGAGAGAAACTTAACTACAGTGATGGTTCTAATGAAGAGCCATACACTGACAGCATGGGGAGGCCTACTGAGCAAACCTTATTTGGTACTGGAGAAAAGAGTCCACAAGGAAGTCATTCTTGCTGATACACTAAGTGTATCGCTTGCTGGCAAAACCCTGCAGCAAATTCCCTGCTCTATCTTTTAATCATATCAAATGGGGAGTATAAAGCTTAATAGCTTCAAGCTTCAGCAGCAAAACTGCTAATGCTGATTGCCAAGGTCTTGTAAACTACGGTGGGCTAAATAATCATCTGCTGTTTGACTTCTGTTGTGTTGCTGCCACCTACTGGTCAGATACTAGTAGTCACTAATGTATGTTACACAAGGCAAAACAGGTCTTAGTATCCTAGATTGCAGACACTATAGTCCTAAGTGAATAATATCAATGTGTTTCATGCAGAACAATCTGCTCCACTGTGTGTCCAAGTAAGTTCCAGAGTTTACCTGGGGGATGATGGTCAGCTTCCCTCGAAGGTCATGGAGCCCGATGGAAGCAATATCGATGCCATCAATGGTGATCTGGCCCCCTGCAGGCTCTAAGATTCTGAAGAGGCAGTTTGTAAGAGATGACTTCCCAGCTCCAGTCCTGCCCACCACTCCAATCTGTGAAGAGAGTGCCTTTGCTTGTTAGTTCAACATGTATTTCCTGGGGTAGGGGGAGGGGAGAGGGACGGATGTTTAGTCTGGACATTCACAATCACAAATGGTAGAAGGCAGCAACTGGTTACTACCTCTCTAAGCCATTAGATGACTTTTGGTTTTGGTGGGAGAAAAAGGTCCAGATGTCAGAAGAAATGACTCTCCCACGCCAATCTCCTATATCGCTACTTGCTAACAACTAAGGCAGTGACCGTTAGAAACAGAGGCATGCTCCCAGTAACTACTGCCGTATATCTGTAACTGAAACTTATAAGCTCTTACGAAAATCTTTTCTAAAAGTGAGAAGAAGAGGAGGATAGGTTTGCTATCAGCTGAGAGTCAGACAGTGATTTGGACTTCAGCATTGTCTCCCAGATTTTTTCCCCCAACATTAGACTCTAAATGCTTAGAGAACAAGAGCACCCTAGGAGGGAGTCCAGTTGAAAAGAGCAGGAGGAAAAGTAGGTTTTACTTTTTTGTTTTTTGTCGGCCATGGGCCTTGAACTCTGGGCCTGAGTGCTATCTCTCAGCTCTTCAGCTCAAGGCTTGAGCTACAGAGCCACTTCCGGTTTTCTGGTGGCTTTGAACCTCAATCCTCAGATCTCAGCCTCCTGAGTAGCTAGGATTACAGGTATGAACCACCGGCGCCAGGCTTAGGTTATTCTTTTCTTAAAGACAACCCTCCACATCACTGTCCACAGCAGTTCTTTCCCTATACATGCTGCTGTGCCCTCACAGGAAATGGAGCCCTGGTGGACAGGCTGGGGGGACAGGATGTCACTTGCTGATATCCTGCCCTCTGGTGGTGGTGCTGTATCCTTACATTTCTCCAGAGCCAAGAAAGTGATTAGTCTCTTTCTCCCTCCACCCAAATGATGAAAGCCTAGAGTCCAGCTATGCATTCTGTCTCCAGTTGTCCTCTGATCACAAGCCCTAACAGATCACCAATTTTCACCCCACCTACCTTCTCTGTGCTCTTGATGGCACAAGTGATCCCTTTCAGTACCAGATCCAGCTCAGGCCGGTACCGAACTTGGTAGTTATTAAACTGGATTTCACCTTTGCTGGGCCAGTCTGGTGGAGGCCTCCTATCAGTCACCCAGGGCGCCTGGCAAGGGGACAGGGTGAAAAGCAACTGAGCCGAACAGCCATCAAGGGACCCATGCCACAAAACAGGAGACAGTTAGCAGCATCACAGCTACTTGAACTAGCTTATTCAAGAAATCCTATCTTATCAGGTTGCTCTGTGGATCTCCAGAAGGAAACTATGAATAATTTATTTATTTATTTATTTATTTATTTATTTATTTTTTTGGTCCAGTTGTGGGGCCTGAACTCTGGGCCTGGGCGCTGTTCCTCAGCTCTTCAGCTCAAGGCTAGTGCTCTACCACTTGAGCCACAGTGCCACTTGCGGTTTTTTCTTTTTTGCTTATGTGGTGCTGAGGAATTGAACCCAGGGCCTCATGCATGCAAGGCAAGCGCTCTATCACTTAGCTACCTTCCCAGCCCTGAATAATTTATTTAAATAAATATTTAAGTTCTTAAATGCCAGGACTGACTTGCCCCAAACCATTTCTTATTCTGAGTTGAAGAAATTAGGTCCTTTAAATTAGAGCAAAGGAAACTTTAAAAAGAACACTAGGAAGCTGGACACCTATAATCCTAGCTACTCAGAAGGCTGAGATCTGAGGATTGAAATTCAAAACCAAACAGGACAGGACTGTCCATAAGATTCTATCTCCACTAAAAACTACCTAAATGCTAGAAATAGAGCTGTGGTTCAAGTGGTAGAGCATTAGCCTTGAGCAAAAAGAGCTCAAGAACAGTGCCTGGGCCCTGAGTTCAAGCTCCAGGATGGCAAAAAAAAGAACATTATGACCCACATGAGTTATGGAGAAATGATGAAGATGCCCTCTCAAATGAGGTCCTTGTTCCTGCATTTCCTCCTTACCTCATTTTCCACATTAATGTACTCAGTTATTCGTTCAACAGACACGATGTTGGTCTCTATTTCAGATGTCATCCTCACGAGCCAGTTGAGGGTTTGTGTGATCTACAGAAACACCACAAAATTAAAAGTCATCTCTGATTCAGAAACCAAGTTGATTAGTCCCACCACCAGGCCACAGTACTTTTATATTCAGCACTGGGGGTTCCACAAGAGAGAAAGGAAAAGTATAAGAAAGATATCTTTATTTCCTTGGAGCAGGGAAAATAAGAGCAGTGCATTGAATGGCTGGAGAACAATGAAATGCTCAGCTATCTGGTGGTCACATGAAGGTCAATGTGAAGGTTAAATAGTTTAGGCTTGGAAAGGCTGGATTTAGGTGGAATGGGATAGGAATATCTGTCTCTAAGCCCAGTGTGTTTTTGTGGAGGGAGTTAAGAATGACATCCTACAAACAAGAAAGAGAATGAGAAGACGTAGAACAGAAAAGAACCTTTCAAAATGATCTGTGATCTCATGCAAAAAGGCAAAGAGGATCATGATTGGAAGCCAAGAGACTCCAATTAACTACCAAAAAGCCAGAAATAGAGGTGTGGCTCAAGAGGTAAAGCATCAGCCTTGATAGAAAAGCCGAGACAGCACTCAGGCACACACGCACACACACACACACAGAGACCAGACACACACAGACACACACAAGAAATTTAAGAAGAAACATGAAATTACATTCTTCAGACTTAAAGGAAACATGTTTAAATCTTTTTCTCCAGATTACACTGTTGCCTACTTAAACAGGGTATGGGCAGTGTCCGTAGGTGAAAGATGGAATTGGGGTTTGAACCTCCCTCTGGATCTAGAAAGGAATCAAAAGCATGGTCTTATAGTACATTCTACCCCCAGATTAAGAATAAGGATATTCATCTAGCTGAACTCCCAAACTCAGACTTACATTGAGGGCATTGGACAGAACAAACCCCACAGTGTCTCCACTTAGGGTACTTTTATAAATAACCAGCAGCAAGCCTGAACAGAAGACGATCATGTTCCCAACAAACTCCAGGCGAACTGCAAGCCACCTGTAGGGTGAGAGGACCAGAGAAAGAAGCAGCACTGATCTTTACCTCTTCACTGTAACCAAGAATCTTGGAGCTCATAACGGTTTACAGGAGTTGGAGTTGGAGTGGTTGTACTCCTAGGGGATGCCTCAATTTTATTTAGGAACATAAAAGTATGTTCCTAAAGGTTTATTAAATTATTATTATTATTATTATTGTCATTTGTGGGGCTTGAACTTAGGGCCCAAGCACTGTCCCTGAGCTTTTTTTTACTCAAAGCTAGAGCTCTATCATTTAGAGTCACAGCTCTACTTCTGGTTTTCTGGTGGTTAACTGGAGATAACAGTCTTACAGACTTTCCTTCCTGGGCTGTCTTTAAACTGTGATCCTCAGATCTCAGCCTCCTGAGTAGCTAGAATTATAGTCTTGTGCCGCCAGTACCCAGCTTCAATTCTTTTTTTTTTTTTTAAAGAAAATATATTACATTTTGAAGGCATATATACTAATCTTAGGGAATGATAACATTTATTATTTACCAAAGTTGTCAAACTAAAAGAATCATCGAGGGCAAAAGCATGTTACAAATTAATGTAAAAAAATCCCTTTTCCACTGGGCGCTGGTGGCTCACGCCTGTAATCCTAGCTACTCAGGAGGCTGAGATCTGAGGATCGCGGTTCAAAGCCAGCCTGGGCAGGAGAGACCGTGAGACTCCTATCTCCAATAAACCACCAGAAAACTGGAAGTGGCACTGTAGCTCAAGTGGTAGAGTGCTTGCCTTGAGCTGAAGAGCTGAGGGACAACGCCCAAGCCCAGAGTTCAAGCCCCACTACCAACAAAAAAAAAATCCCTTTTCCTTCTTATAAAACATCATATATCTTTGTTTTCAAATCTATAGCCTCTCAAGGTTCCAAATAATACTGATAATCATTAGTCTGCCCATAATACCTTAAGACATTCTGGAAGCTACTCAACAATTTTCCCTTCCTAAAATGACCTTTCTCCTTCAAGGACATATCACTGCTTGCCAGGGTCTAATGATTCTCACCCTACTCAGAGACTCAGCTCATAGAATGTGAGCTTTCTATTTTGGTTTTCAGTGGTTTTTACCCATTTCCAGTGTTTTGGATTTTTTTTGCTGGTTAGAGATTAGAGTCTCTCAGATTTGTTTGCCCAGGGTGACTTTCAAACATTATCCTCAGATCTCAGCCTCCTGAGTAGGATTATAGATGTGAGCCACTGGTACTTCTGGCTTACCTTTGTTTTTAGACAAAGAAACTGAGCGTTTTTCTTACAAAAGTCAAGGCAGAACTGGCTGAGAGCTAGTCTCTTATTTCAAGGCTCATGCTTTCTTCTCTCTACTTACATAGCATGACAAATGTCTGTGGGCCAAATTAGTTTTATATACCTGACCTCCAGTGGCTGGTGTCAAGCATGCAGAACCCTGAAGCTTGTATTTGAGTAAACACTCAGCCTGAGCCTTACCTGTTGGAGGTGATCCAAGAAAAGACACATTTCTGGTTGGTGTCAATCCCCATCTCACTGCGTGCTAGAAATCGCTGCTGGTGCTCAAAAGCACGGATAACAGGCAAACCTGATACTGTCTCACTGAAGTGAGAGTAGATCGGGGACCTGGTGACAGAGTCCAAACGTCTCAACTGGCGGGAAGTAGACACGTAAAACACCTGATCACACAAAGCAAACATCAGTCAGTCACACATTATCATGTTGGATATGCTGTACTTTTTCTTTCTGCTCATGATCCAACATCTTTCACTTGATGGCCTTAAGCCCACATTTGAACCAGATGAAAGCCTGCAGTGTTTTCCCTGGCAGGAAGAAAGATGAGAGGCCCAAAGAAGGCAATGCTGGCAAGATTGTGGTTAGTAGGAAACAGGAAGATGAAAGAGAAGGGATTTGGCGAATTCAGTTTCCTAAACATAGGAAAGTTTTGCCAACAAAGTCCATATTCTTCTCCCAAATCCATAACTGATGTTCAAATGATAGTTTCTATATTAGTTAGAAAAGTGGTCTTCAAAGGGATTTTATAAAAGATGTTGGGATTTGAGATGTGTGTTAAGTGAGGATGAGCAGCAATGACCAGAAGTAATCAAAGAAAGGAATACTGAGGTTTGATTAAGAAATGGAAGAACATGGTATAACCCCTGTTGTCACTGTATTTGATTCCGGTGTCCTGTATCTTGTATATAGATTGTTCTAATTCGGGAAGGGGAAGGGAAATAACAAAATGCTGAAATAAGGATACAGTTTGACCTATTGTAACAATGAGATGTACAAGACACTATGTTGAAAACGCACTTTACAACTTGGTGGGGGGAAGGAGGAGTTGGGGAGGTGGGGAGGGAAGGGATTATAGGGGAAAAACAAAGGAGGGGGTAACAATGCTCAATAGGAAATGTACTCATTTTCTTACTCACGTAACTGTAATCCCCTCTGTACAGTACCTTTACAATAAAAAATTAAAAACAAGACATGGAAGAACACAGTGATCAAAGCTCTGCTTAGATGGGCTATGACAGTAAAGATAGTCTTAGAGCTATGGAGAATGTTGTGTGTAAGATAATAGAATGATCCATTCATCTATTGAGGGGCATCTGGGGTGGTTCCATATCTTAGCTATGATAAATAATGCAGCAATAAACATAGTTGTGCTAGTAGCTTTAGTATAGTCTTGTTTGTGATCATTTGGGTAAATGCCCAAAAGTGGGATTGCTGGGTCATAGGGGAACTCTATGTGGAGTCTTTTGCAGAACCTTCATGCTGCTTTCCAAAGTTGTTGAACAAGTTTACACTCCCACCAACAATGGGGTTCCCTTCTGTCCACATCCCCTCCAGCATCTGTTGTTATTAGAGTTCTTGATTATAGCCTTCTAACTGGAGTAAGGTGGAATCTCAATGTTGTTTTGATTTGTATTTCTTTTATGGCTGAGAGGTTGAGCATTTCTTCATGTGTCTATTGGCCATTCTTATTTCCTTTTCAGAGAAGTTTCTCTTTAAGTCTTTAGCCCACTTATTGTGGTATATATATACAATGGAATTCTATGTCTCCATCAGAAAGAATGACATTGCCCCATTTGTTAGGAAATGGAAAGACTTGGAAAAAATTATATTAAGTGAAATAAGCCAGGCCCGAAGAAACATAAGGTTTCCCTTATTTGCAATAACTAGTATATGTCTGGGACAAGTAGAAAAGGTCAAACGCTATATACATACGACCAGGTAAGATGAAGTTAAGCAAATGAACCCCAAGATAGGGACACAAGTGGTTTTTCTTTCTTGTTATTGTTTTTAACATATTTCTAAGGTAACATGTGATTTTTTTTGTTGCTTTGTATGTTCCTCCCCAAGGTATAACCCCTGTTTTCACTGTATTTGATGTCAGTATAATTTTGGGAGGGGAGGGGAAAAAACAAAATGTTTAAATAGGGATACATGTTGACCCATTGTAACAATGAGATGTACAAGACACTATGTTGAAAACGAACTTTACAATTTAAGTGGGGGGGGGAGGAGGAGGGGAGGGAGTGTAGTTGTGGAGGTGGGAGAGAAGGGATGGTAGGGGAAAAGCAAAGGAGGAGGCAACAAATCTTGATAACAAATCTACTCATTACCTTGCTCATGTAACTGTAACCCCTCTGTGCAGTATTTTCACAATAAAAAACTTATTAAAAGGAAGTAGCACTGTGGCTCAAGTGGTAGGGTGCTTGCCTTAAGCTGAAGAGCTCAGGGACAACACCCAGGCTCAGAGTTCAAGCCCCACAACCAACAAAACAAAACAAAAAAACTTATTTAAAAAAAGATAATAGAATGCAGGTAGAATCTTTGGAAGCAAAGTATGATGGAATGGATTAACGATACTACTACATTTCGTGAGGGATTGTTGAGGATCTGGGCATTTGAGAGTTAGAATGCAGTGTTATATCTGGAAGTTTTGTCAAATAATCCTGTGTCGTTTGTTGGTTTGTCACAAAGTCAAAAGGCTGTTAGAGATCTGAGTGTGTGTATAGAGAACTCTACAAAGTAGGCACAAAAGGAACCATCTTGACATAGAATTACAATGCCACACTTTAGGAGCTTCAGAACTATTTTCCCTAGATGAACAGTTTATCACTAAGGCAATTGGTAGGACAGAAGTTCATTCCTCAGCTTCCTCTTTCTTACAAAAAAAAATTTAGTTTTGGTCAGTCGTGGGGCTTGAACTCTGGGCCTGAGCGCTGTCCTTGTGCTCTTCAGCTCAAGGTGAGTGCTCTACCACTTGAACCACAGCATCACTTCCAGTTTCCTGGTGGTTTACTGGCTATAAGAGTCTCCAGACTTTCCTGCCTGGACTGGCATTGAACTGCAATCCTCAGATCTCAGGCTCCTGAGTAGCTAGGATTACAGGCGTGAGCTACTGGTGCCCGGCTTCTCACCAATTTTTATTATGGTCCTGGTGGTGCCTCCATTTTTTCCAGTTTTTCTGTAAAGCTAGGCTGTCACGGTGTTTCCTCAAAGGATATGTTGAACTCAAACCTAAGTCATTCACAGATATCCCAGTGAAATTAGAGTTGTTCCAAAGGCTCCTACTGCAATTGGGTATGTCTATTTGAAACCAAAAGAGTAAGCAGGCTGGAACATTTCTAGAAATGTTCTAATTGTTGTGGGGATCATTAGAGAGCCTGAAGATTTGTCCAGAGCCAATCTCAAAGTAGGTTTTAAAAAAATCAAAGCCAGAGCTGGGTGCCAGTAGCTCAAGCCTGTAATCCTAGCTACTCAGGAGGCTGAGATCTGAGGATCATGGTCCAAAGCCAGCCCGGGCAGGAAAGTCCTGAAACTCTTATCTCCAATTAACCACTAGAAAACCGGAAGTGGTGCTGTAGCTCAAGTGGTAGAGTGTTCGCCTTGAGCTGAAGAGCTGAGGGACAGCGCTCAGGCCCAGAGTTCAAGCCCCACGACCGACAAAAAAAAAAAAAATCAAAGCTGGGTGCTGGTGGCTCACACCTGTAATTCTAGCTGAGATCTGAGGATTGCAGTTCCAAGCCAGAGTAGGCAGGAAAGTCCACGAGACTCTGATCTCCAATACACTACTTAGAAAAAGCTGGAAGTGACACTGGCTCCAATGGTAGAGTGCTAGCTTTGAACCCAAAGAGGCTTGAATACCTAGGCCCTGAGTTGAAGCCACAGGACTAGGGGAAAAATAAATAAGTAAAACAAGGGTATTGCCCATGCCAGGCAAGTACCCTATATCCCCTGAGCTATATCCTCAGTCCTCAAAGTAGTCTTGAATCCAGACATTAATCTGAACCACCTAAGCTTCTGGTATACGGGTAATTAGGATGAGATGTGCTGTCAACCATATACAAACAGATGTTGTCTGTTTAGCTTCAGATGATAGCCTGTAGGCTTATGGATAGATGAACATATAACTAAATGGCAAAGATGTTCAAAGGAGAGACTATCAATAAACAAAAGAGAAGAATTCTCTGGAAAGATCCTGAGCTTTTATAGGCAGAGATAGAGGAAGATAAGGCCACTCCCAAACCTACTTGAACAGACACATAAATAATGCCAAGGGGAATGATGATGATGGCGAAGACAGGGGTGGCCATGCAAATCATGACAAGGGTGCTGATTATCCCCAAGAAGCATAAAATCCAGCTGCGCATCGTCTGAGGGAGCATATCATCCATAGTGGAAATATCCTAAAAAACAAGGAAAATAATGAGCTCCCAAGACATTTTAGATCTTTCTAATTCTTTTTTTTTTTGGTCAGTCATGGGGCTTGAAATCTGGGCCTGGGTGCTGTTCCTGAGCTCTTCAGCTCAAGGCTTCTGCTCTACCACTTGAGTCATAGCACCACTTCCTGTTTTCTGGTGGTTTATTGGAGAGAAAAATCTCATGGACTTTCCTGCCCGGGCTGGCTTTGAACTGTGATCCTCATATCTCAGCCACTTGAGTAGCTAGGATTACAGGCATGAGTCACAGGCATGAGCCACTGGCACCCGGCTAGATCTTTCTAATTGTAACTAGACATTCTCTCAATTCTTTGTGTTTGCATTGTATCTTTTCAAATAGTTATCTACAATAGACTATACTGTTCTCCCTCAATAATTAATCTCATTTCTGTCTTTTCCTCATGGTCCACAATCCCTCCAAAAAGACATGGTAGTCATGGTAGTAGTCATCCTTTCAACCTTTTCCCAGTATATTTGGAAAAGGCTGTCACTCTTCTCATTCATCAACTTGTTTACACCATTATAGTTATTGCAAACTACTAAGGGACTTACAGGTTAAATCCTTCTCTCCTAACCAAACCAATGCAGTTAATACAAGTCCTAATTAAATATCTAGAACAAAGCCTGACACATTAAAACAAAATACTACACCACTTGATTGGAAGCTCTAGTCAACAAGCCTTGTCACTCACTCCTGACTGAAGAACACTTCCTTCCTTTTGCCAAGCATTGAGCTTCAGGGGAAAGGAAATGGAGAGACGGGCCTTACTGCTGCATTGCCTTCACGTCACATGGAATATATGAACAAATAAGAAAAGGAACTGGATGGATAAGCCTGGCTTATCTTTTGGGTTGTGCTTGCCTGGATTTCTCAGGGGATTACATAATAATGACTTAATATATGTGAGTATGAAGGTGACTGCAAATTTTCTTTGAGGGTTTCCAAACTTGGCTCAGAGTTCTGAACCAGAAATGGCTTCTGAGTCTAATCAACATTTCCCTCAAGTCATATCAGAGCACAAATAGGTAACTATGTCCAAGGCTGGCATAAAAATAAAATCCTCGCTGATTGTCAGTTCTATGCAGATTACTCTTGCTCCCTACATATCAAAAATCCTCTACCTTTCTCTCCTCCATTGTTTCTCCTCCTAAGCACTCAGCTATTGTGATGGAGATTGAAACAAACCTTTTTGGCCTACCTCCTGCTCCCAATACCTCTTGACACATCCCTGGACTTACTTCTACCTCTCACCTTTCCTGACTTTTCCCATCCTCATTCAAATAGAGCTAGCACTTCTTTCTCTGTCATTTCTTTGCATTCCCAGAGTACCTACTGCTACTGGGCTTACTTAGCATAGTCGATCTACTCCTTCATTTCTTTCTTTCTTTCTTTCTTTTTTTCTTTCTTTCTTTCTTTCTTTCTTTCTTTCTTTCTTCCTTCCTTCCTTCCTTCCTTTTCTTTCTTTCTTTCTTTTTTTTTCTCCTTCATTTCTTTGGCTATTGAAAAGCCAGAGCTCTTCACCCATGTATCCCTAAGCTCTTTGGAACCTATAGGATGTACTTAGGAAACATTTACATGCTGAGTAGAAAAAAGGATTTAAGTCACATAGAGTTTCCTAAGGGACATGAAAATTACTTCCCATTAGAAATAAAAAAGAGCCTCAGCACACAAACAGGTTACTATGTAATCCTTGAGATACTTACACCAGCAAACCTGTTTACAATCCGGCCTGTGGGTGTTGTGTCAAAAAAACTCATGGGTGCTCGGAGGATATTGTTTAACAGATGTTTATGCAAAGTTTTTGATGCATGGGTGCAACTGTACACAGTCAGGATACTTGCGCCAAGCACACAGAGACCTAGAAATAGAGGGAATGTTGTCAGCTCCATTCACAGAAGAGTTGCATGCAGGGCATAGTGGCAAATGCTTTCCTGAGTATAACAGGACAAGGCACCAGAGGAGATTCCAGAAGAGATGGTTGTTGTAGCATCAGGCATACCTTGTGCTATTCCCAGAGCAGCATAGATGCCAATTCTCAGGTCCCTCTGAGAGGCTGGATAGGTGGTGCTATTGAAGGTTTGAGAGTCACTGGTCCATGCACTGAGCCACAGGTTGGAGCCAATAAAAGCCACAGAATTCATCGTGTAGATAAGGATGATGAAGACTATGGAACACAACCCTATTGCTTGCAGATATTTCACATAGATGGAGAACTTCACCTGCAAAACCCCCATCAGTGTGAGTAGAACACCCTAGTGGCTTTTAATGAGGAATTACCTAGAAAATCAATCACTAGGAGTAGAGATAGGAAGTTAACAAAATTTGGTAGTCTGTGGTCATTACTTTTGCCTTGAGCTGGGGTAATAGACAATAGTGATTACAGTGCAGAACAAATAGCCATCTGGTTATTAATAAGTATTTAGAGCTACTTGAGAAGAAAAGATAGAAGGACTAGGAGAAAGATAAGGTTTTTCGGAAGCCCTTGGAATATATGGCATTAAATTTCATTGATTTATACTGTGTGCCCGAGGTGTGACATATTAGCATTTCCTATCTCCTAGAACTGCACCTCAAAGCAGTTTTGTTGTCTATATGTCAGAATAGAGTCAAGCACTCCTGACAGGTAGTGTGAGGGTACTGACAGGAAGCAGGTTATTCTTCACAGAAAGATAGACTGCAGAGAAAGCTTCAGACTCCGTTATAGTTTTAGTAATGATTTTGAAGATTTGTAAAGATCTTTGCAACATATCACTCCTATAGAGCTATATTGCAATTTCAACTAAAATTTAAAATTTCAGATTTCAAGTTTCATATTACCCCAGATAGTGTGTGTGTGTGTGTGTGTGCACATGCCCGCACACGCGTGTGTGTGTGGTGCTCACCTTTCCCGTTTCCATGAACTCTTTTTGAATCAGCTTCTGTCCTCTCACTAGTTCTTCCCTCTCCTTCAGGCCATTCGCCTTCCCTGTTTTCAAGGAGTCTTTTAGGGACTTCCGGTGCTTGCTACTGGACCTAATGCTGAAAGGCAGACAAAGGAAAGCTCTCTGAGCACAGATATTTCCCAAGTCGCTTCTTGCAAGTAGATGTTACAGCATCAAAGTATATTACAGAGCGTTTGGCCATAGGAAGATGACACAAACCTAACCCTTCCCCCACTCCTAAATGGATATAGAGGAAGAGCTAGAAGAATCCATGGGGGTCTTTTCCCTCTTGGAAAGTCCATAGAGGTGGAAGTACGGCAGCCATATGGGCTGCCACTGGAAAAATAGGCTACCTGCGGCTCATGGTTCGACGGAGACTCTTTTCTCTTTTCATGGCCAAGGAGGCAGATTCCTCAGGGAGCTCCTCCATACTGGGTATTAGTTCACCATCATTGTCTTCTTCCTCACTGTCATCATTGACTAAGGAGACAGGTTAGAGGTCAGAGAAGTAACACAAAGTGCTCTCAGCCCTATGAGAGCTCAGCAAGTAAACACATAGACTAGAATATTTTATCCCACAAACACCAGTTATTAGTATAAATTCTTTCTAAGAAATTGTAGGACAAAGGAGAGATAGTTGCATATTCCCCTTGAAGAGAAAATGATTCAAAGAAGAGGAAAACTCCTGGATATTTATAAGTCTTAACAGCAGTAAAGAACCTTGAGGATGGAAGTGGCGCTGTGGCTCAAGTGGTAGAGCGCTTGCCTTGAGCTGAAGAGCTGAGGGACAGCACCCAGGCCCAGAGTTCAAGTCCCATGACCAAAAAAAAAGAAGAAGAACCTTTAGGAGCCAGGCACTGGTGGCTCATGCCTGTAATCTTAGCTACTCAGGAGGCTAAGATATCTGAGGATCGCGGTTCAAAGCCAGCCCGGGCAGGAAAGTCAGTGAGACTCCTATCTCCAATAAACCACCAGAAAATCAGAAGTGGTACTGTAACTCAAGTGGTAGAGCAGTCACCTTGAGCTGAAGAGCTCAGGGACAGCACCCAGGCCCAGAGTTCAAGCCCCATGACCAACAATAACAACAACAAAAAATGAAACTTTTGGGACCATTGGAGACGAACAGAAGTCATCTCTCTCAGAATTAACTAGGGATTACTGTAAATAAAAAATGCTAATCTTAATGTTTAAATGACTTAACAAACTTTTATCAGTTAAAATCACTTAAAAGCTTTATACCAAAAACACAATAAAACAAAGTAACATGTAAATTCAGCAGGTGCATCAGTGGGCAGGGTAGAATAAGGATCTCCAAAAAAATGATATGAATACTGACAAAAATGAAATTATCTAATGAACCAAAAGTTTGCCTTAACTGAAGGATCTTTTTCATAACTGAATCTTGGTAAGAACAATATGCCTCACATTAGTTTAAATTACCCTATTTCCATCTCCTCTGCCTCCTTTCCATCCCCTCTCTTCAGCTGCTGTAGCTTAGAAAAACAACAGCCATAAAATCATGGTTGGCCATGAAAACTATCAGCCTAACAGCCCTCTCATGGGACAGTATAGTTTCAGAACTCCCCAAAAGCCCAATCCCAGGATAAGTACCATTATGTTACCTATTCCCTGAAAATCTCCATTAACAAGGCATGCCTCTACTTCACATAGTCAGAGATAGCTCAGTCAGCATCTATTAACTGTTAATATTACAGCTGCCTGAGGTGACCGTAATTGTAGCAAATAAGATGACAAAAAAACAAACTGGGAGCTGGGCACTGGTGCCTCCTACCTACTTAGGAGGCTGAGATCTGAGGTTCAAATCCAGCCTAGGCAGGAAAGTCCATGAGACTCTTATCTCCAATTAACCACCAATAAGCCACCACTGTGGCTCAAAGTGGTGAGCACTAGCCTTGAACAAAAGAGCTCAAGGACAGCACCCAGGCCCCGAGTTCAAGCCCCATGACCAAAACAAACAAACAAACAAACAAAACACCAAAAACATTGGGCTGCGATGTGGTTTAGTGATAGAGTGATGCCTAGTATGCATGAAACCATGGGTTTGATTCCTCAGTACCACATACACAGAAAAAGCCAGAAGTGACGCTGTTGCTCAAGTGCTGAGCCTCAAGTGGTAGAGTGCTAGCCTTGAGCAAAAGCTCAGGGACAGTGCCCAGACACTGAGTTCAAGCCCCAGGACTGGCAAAAACATAAACAAAAACAAACAAACAAACCCCCTAGGGAATGAGATACCTATAGAGGGCTCTGTTAGCCTGATATTTTCCTGGCTTCCAGGAGTATATTAATTGAAGGAACTAAGTAGTCTTCCAATGTTTCTACTGCAGTTTGTATAGATTACCATGAAAACAATTGCATTAAAATACTATTGTTTTGCTTTCTCATCAGGTTGTAAATTACTTTTGATAGAGGTCACCACACATGTGTGTGGGGCTGTGCACATGCCCAAGGAGGAGTGTAAAAGGCCCCCATCACACCTCTGGCCGACACTCTGGCACTGTGCAGCAGGCTGTTGAAGGCTGTTGAACATACAGTGCTCCTGAACAAGGCTGAGAGATTTCCTAGTGCCAGGTATTTTTAGGAAATCTCTGTCTAATCATTAGCTGACCACCACATCACCACATCACTTCAGTGGCCACACATGACAAAAAACATAGACTTAAGAGAATTAATTCTGGAAACATTTTCAATTTCTGATTGTTTACAGCAAAACAGAACTAAATTCACTTCTAAATCTAGCTCATTAGAAACAAACAGTTCAGGAGGTAGACAACAGTTTTCTGCAATGCCCCAAATGCTAGCCTGTTCCAGATCCTCTTATATATACCTGTGGCCTCTTCTTCAGGATTCAAACGTCTCATGAAAAGCTTCTGGTTCTTAGCAAACACTCCTTTATTGGCTATCAGAGTGTTATAAGATCCTTTTTCCAAGATGGTGCCATTTTCTAGAACCACAATCTCATCCACTTGGGGAAGAAAGTGAATGCTATGTGTAACCAGAAGTCGAGTCTGTAAAAATAACATTAAGTTGTTCTGATTATCCTGCATCCAGCATTTTCCCCAGATACTTCTAAAAAGGCTTAAAGCAGATCTGTCAATTTATGCTGGGGTTTCTTTCAAAATATGGCTCAGATTTCTTTATTTATTATACTTCTTCTTTCCTTCCCAGCACTTCATTTATTAATTTTTTTTGTGCCAGTCCTGGGGCTTGAACTCAGAGGCCTGGGTGCTGTCCCTGAACTTTATTGGCTCAAGACTAGCACTCTACCACTTGAGCCTCAGCACCACTTCTGGCCTTTTCTGAGGTAAGAGTCTCACTGACTTTCCTGCCTGGGCTGGCTTCGAACTGTAACCCTCAGATCTCAGCCTCCTGGGTAGCTAAAATTACAGGTGTAAGCCACCAGTGCCCACCTTCAGGACCTCATCTTAAAACATTATCCATGGATTTATTTAGTTATTTTCCAACAAGGACAATGAGGTTTTACCCTACCCACATTATTCTTCATGTCCCTTTTTTAGAAAAAGGTTGAGTGGAGATCAATGCTAATCATTATAAAAAGCTACCTAACTGGCTAATTGCCCCTTTCCACTGCTAGCTTTTCACTTACCAGCTGACCAACTGGGCAGCCCAGAAGGTTCAAAGCCAGCCGAAGCAGGAAAGTATGTGAGACTTTTATCTCCAATTAACCACCAGAAAACCAGAAGTGGTGCTGTGGCTCAAGTGGTAGAGTGCTCACCGTGAGCTGAAGAGCTCAGGAACAGCACCCTGGCCCAGAGTTCAAGCCTCATGACTGACAAAAAAAAAAAAAGAAGAAGAGAGAGAAAGAGAAAGAGAAAGAAAGAAAGAAAGAAAAGAAAGAAAGGAAGGAAGGAAGAAACAAAGGAAGAAAAAAAGGAAAAGAAAACGTAAAGGCAACACTGCCAGCACCTGCTCAAAGGTACTTTTTTATTCATAATCAATCATCATAAGAAGCTCAATGTCAGAGCCACAAATTAGCCAGTTACAGACTAAGCCATGACCTCAAGATGGGAGCCTTCATCGGATAGTCTCCAAGGGAAACAGCCTGACCTTGTATCTCCTCAGGAGCCAGGGGAAAGAGGAAAATAAGAAAATCTATGTCAGGATGACAAGTGCTCAATAACTGCTCAGGGAGATGGGTGTGAGTCCTACCTCCTTACACTCATTGGAGGGACTGTGATGAAGACAGCTTCATCACTAAATGATTTCTTACCTTGCCATGCAAAAGGCCATTGGGACCCAAGACCTTATCGAAAATATGTTTTCCTACATGAGCATCCACAGCTGACAGAGGATCGTCAAGAATATAGATGTCTGAATTTTGATAGACAGCTCTGGCCAGGCTGATCCGTTGCTTCTGACCACCACTGAGATTTATACCCTGAAGAAGAAAACAATTTCTATTAAAATATTCCTTAATCCCACCTCTAGAGTTTTTTTTTGGGGGGGGCAGTCGTGGGGCCTGAACTCTGGGCCTGGGCGCTGTCTCTCAGCTCTTCAGCTCAAGGCTAGCGCTCTACCACTTGAGCCACAGTGCCACTTCCGGTTTTTTTCTGTTTGCTTATGTGGTGCTGAGGAATCGAACCCAGGGCCTCATGCATGCAAGGCAAGTGCTCTACCACTGAGCCACCTTCCCAACCCCTCCGCCTCTAGAATTTAATATGGAAGTGTAACAAGGGAATTTTTAAAAATCTCATAAATTTCTTTATATCAAAAATAAGTTTGATTCAAAGCCTAATAATATAAGGTATGACCAATTTAACCATTTACTATCCTATCCTTTACATAGCTAACTAATATTTTTGCTGCTTCCCTCTCCATGATGGTGTAGGGCTATGCCAAGGTTTTCTCTTCTTTGCAGTTAAACTGGTGTCTGTCACACAGTACTTGTTCAATAAGGTAGGCTGAATTAATGAACAAAATCACTCTAGAATTGTGTCTTCATTGGTTTTCCAGTATCTCAAGATCCTTGTCTCCTAAAGATTGCTACATTCGTTCTTAATACTGAAGAAGGATGAAGTTTTTCTAAATACATATAGTAATCAGCAGTTTCTAAGTAAACTGTGCTTTATTTATATAATGATGCAACGTAGTTATTAATCTATTTTTAAAAGATATTTAAAAACACAAGTCAACCGTGGGCAAGTGACAGCCTCTCAGGTTCTTTGCTGTTACCTCTGATTCAGGTTACACCGTTCCTGTATTTGTCTTCAGGTACTAAGTTGCAAAGTTCTGAGTCCTTTACACAAAATATCATAACCAGTACAAACACTTTTTTTGATGTTTGTTCTAAACCTGAGTACCAAAGTTGGCTAACCATGTTCCCCTGAGCACTTTCTCATGTCTTCACCCTTCAGTGCCTCCTTTGTGTCCCAAGTACCTTCTCTCCAATCTCAACCATGTCTCCTCCAGGCAATATTTCCAAGTCTGGGAGGAGAGAACAGGCCTCCAGAACTTGCTTGTATCTTTCTTCATTGAACTCAGATCCAAAAAGGATGTTGTCCTTTATGGTGCCATTCTGAATCCAGGACTGCTGAGGGACATAGGCTGTAGTGCCCTAGATGGAAAAGAATCATACCACACAACAATGGGACCTCCAGAAATGAAGGGTGACAGATGAGATGGCAGAAAAAGGGAGGGACAAATAGATCTTAGGTTTGAAAAGCTATATGTCAGGTTGCTTAAGCATCTGATATTTCTTAATGTGCTTATTAACTAACCAGGAAGAATCAATCCCTTATTCACCATTAGTACCCTCATCCTCACTTTATATCATCATTTTCTTGCCATGATCCTGAAAACCAGAAGGTGAATGTGCATGGTGCTTCTAGATGATGTTTTTCATCAAACCCAATGAGTTTACTGTGACTTCAATAGTATTAACACTTTCACAACATGTTATAAATCATTAGGCAGCAAATTCTAGGTTGGAATCAGGACACCAAGAGCTACACAAAGCAAATTCAAAGAGAGAGAGAGAGAGATTGTCATATACATGTATTTAAGAAAGAACTCAAAGCCAGGTGCTTTTGGCTCATGCCTGTAATCCTAGCTACTCAGGATAGTAGCTACTGAGATGTGAGGATGGTGTTTTCAAGCCCAGATAGAAAAGTTTGTGAGACTCTTATCTCCAATTAACCATTGGAAAGCCAGAAGTGGAGCTGCTATGACCCAAAGTGGTAGAGTGCTATCCTTGAGCAAAAGAGCTTAGAGATAGAGTCCAGACCATAAGTTTAAGCCCCATGACTGACAAAAAAGAAAAAGAAAAGAGAAAGAAAGAACTCAGTTATGAGTTGGCATCAGAAAACTTTCCAAGAGTTATACAAAGTTAAGTCTGCTGTCTTTTCTTATGTTTTTAAAGTGCAAATTAGCTCCTTAGAGATTAGCAAATAGTGAAGAAGATAATTACAATGTGGAAGAGATGTTTCTTAAGATTTTGCTGAACAAATCAACATAAAGTAATATAAGGCAACCTTTTTCTTTATAAAGATAGCTGAGGGCTGGGAAGGTGGCTCAGTGGTAGAGTGCTTGCCTTGCATGCATGAGGCCCTGGGTTCAATTCCTCAGCACCACATAAGCAGAATAAGGTGGAAGTAGCACTGTGGCTTAAGTGTTAGAGCGCTAGCCTTGAGCTGAAGAGCTGAGGGACAGTGCCCAGGCCCAGAGTTCAGGCACCACAACTGACAAAAAAAAAAAAAAAAAAAAAAAAGATAACTGAAGTGGTAGAGTATCTGTTAAGAAAGTT